TGTATGTCCATAATTAAAATGACCCACACCAAGAACGATGTGAGTCAAGATTCGTACGGCAAGAGGCGCCTAATGCACTTCGGTTGAGGCTTCCTCCATTCCTCCGTGGGTGTCCCAATGAAGAAAAATCCATCTGCAACTGCTGAACCTTCAGGTGGATGCCCGACTAGATCAGCAACATTCTTTACTTCTGCTGGGTCCCGCGGATATTGATATGGAGGCCATGGCTCAGGGCCATTGATGGGCCAAGTAGGAATATAACACATTTCCTGCAAGTAGATCGTGCTTAGTCCGGCAAGTTAGGAAATAAGTTATTCGAATCCCACCTCTGGGCCACAGGCAGGTCGGCATTTAATCCATATGCTCCAGTCTAACCAAGACATCAGCTTCTCGATGTCTCGTCTCCAATCATTCATTATTCGAGCGACATCAACCTCCCCCTCATTAAGCTCTAGAGGGAAAAGGACGTCGAGCCCGCTCATGGTACCAACAGCCCACATCTTCGTAGTGACACGACAGATTTCTCTCGTTGTGTCCTCGATGGCTTTGAGCAACAGGCGTTCTGAAGGCGTCATCAAAGGTACATGATTTATCATCGCAGTAGTGTGCGTTGTGGCACATAACCTGAACATTGGGGATGCCCACTGCAATGGAGGTAGGCCTGGAGTATCTGCACTGGGGACGACAGTAGCATTCAATATATATGGTGCAAACACAACGCGGAGCTGGGTCTGCATGAGCATTGCTCGCTGAAGGAGTTCTTGCGAGTCTGATGAGGTGAAATTGAGGAGATGTTGCATGAACTCGAGCCGATCCGCATATCGATCAACGATGACGTGGGTGAGGGTCTTCCAGTCTATACCGCTGCTTGGATCTGGTCGACTGATGACCTCGGTCAGCTTTCTCTTCACCTGTGATATATCCTCTGATGAGATTCCGAGCACCCGGTGGTCCCACCGTTCAAGCCCTGCGCGAACAGGAACGAGGGAAGGTGCCAGTGCGATATCATACAGTGAGACGAGACCAGTTATGTCGAGCACAATGCGAGGATCCCCTGGGTAGCGATTGTGCCATGAGCCGGAGTGCATGGCTTCAAATGTGCGATTCCCTGCGCTCAGGAACAAATGACGTCAATCGTATTAGAACACACGAACAAAATACTGACAGATATCAGGATCCAATGCAGGATAGGAGGGAGTGGAAAGAACACCAGGGTACGGGATCCTATCCTTCCATGAGACACGGACATGCAGGAAAGATGCTACTTCGACACCAGCGGTAACATCACACAACATAACTTCACTAGAAGGTCGTCAGCTGGAAGCGCAACATAGAATTGGAAGGGTGCGCACAAGTCCATTTCCATCCTAAAAATCTGAGAATCAGATATATACCATAGCGAGATGAGTCGCTAACCTCACAAAACCATCGATTCCGAACTCCTTTCCCCACCTACAGAGATCTTTAATCCGTGATTGTTCATCGCGGTATCGCTCAGGTTGCACTTCTCCCCAGGCTGTTATATCCTGCGTATCCATTGTACCCTCGGACACCTTAGCAGCACTATTTCCATCAAAGTACAAAACTTTTAGAGGTCGCAATGCTGCCAGCGTGAGCAGCCAGGCACTCCCATATCCAAGAGCGAAAACAAGAGAATGCTCTGGGTCTGTAGCGGTCCAGAAGGGACCACTGGGTATTGTATGGCTGTCGGTACCATGATAAAGTAAAGTACCAGTTGGAATTACTGCCGGTACTATGTTATGTCCTATAAAAAGATAAACATTTTTTTCAAGTGTCAGAAAGCAGCGGAGACGTACCATTACGATACCGAGTATTTGGCCAGCGTTGTAAGAGTGAATGGACAGTGTCGAAGATCAAGTTCCCTGTCGCGTTCTCGGTAGGACCTTCTTCAAGCTTCCATTGCTCGCTCTTCAAACCGAAATTAAATGAATGTGACTCATCATTGTTCAAGTTGGCAATATTCAAGGGTCGAACACAAGCTTCTCCAGTAGTGCTGATGGGAAATTGTTGGTCATGGAGAGCTAGAGCTGTTGACCCGAGGCTCAGAGCTGCCACAAGGGAGTGATAACGCATTGTGAGAACTGTCCCAAAGTTATTGATGCTATCGCATCTTTATCGGTGCCAAGCAATGCGTGGTCACTAGTGTTCTGGGCAGAACTCGGGAGTTTTTCCGTCCGGTCTGGCCAAACTGGTTGTGACCGGTCCACGGCAGAACTCACGCGAAGGGAGGGTGGCTGAACCTGTTAGAACTCCATCCAAAACTCGCGGAGATGTAATGTACGGAGGACCTGCCAGTGAACCAGACCTCCCGGGGGGTACACTGCAGTTGCAGGACTGGACATGCGAACAGGTAAATGTGGTGCAGTTGACGTTCGATGTTGGATAAAACTTGAACATGACAATTTGCCTAACACGCACTACTCATGCACATATGCAGAGAAATGGTACTTACGTGGCATATGCCACAGGACCGTCACATGCACAGATCGCCGTTGCAACATCGAACAGCGAAAAACGCGCAGTAACATGTGGACGCAATAGCCACTGATCCGCCAGTTATTCGTGCTTAAACATACTTGCCGGTTACCACTCCAGAGGATGCCCAGGCCCTCGGCGAAGCCTAATGATAGTAATGTATTAAAAATGTGATGCTCTGCCAATAGGAAAATGCAAACCATCTTCATGCTTGTTCTCTTGCGTGAAGGAACGAAGATCTTCATTCGACGTCAGTGACTCTGTGATTTCTTGATCAAACTTTGTGTGATGGGTCTGTTGTTTTCTCTTATTACGCCCGCCAGCTTGAGCAGGTCGTTTTGAAAACATGTAAGTAATCAACCTGCGGGTGCAGGCATACCTACAGTTCCTTTCCCACGGTACAGCTGTATTGTCTTCATTAGGTGTTGTACCGCAGGGCAATAAACAAGTGGGTCTCTACGATGATGTCTTTCTATGATGCATATTCAAGTTCACAACTATCAGGCAGATGGTGCTTGTACTAGCACAAACGAAACAAGCTACCCTCGTCGTTACATACGTTTACTCTCAGACAGCTCAAGAGACGCAGGCATGATACTAGTCACCAATCTTGGAGCATACCTCGCTAGCCAGAAGTACTGGGGTCTGTTAGGAAGCAATGGCAAAGGGCACAGAAGGCTTGGGTAAAAGGTGTGCTATCATGTATTCGTACAGTTTATAGAGTCATTTGAAAGTTCAATACATTGGGCAATCGTCACATGTTTGTTATCAGGTCGGGGACAGCATCATCCGGGACCGGCCGTATCTTGCACATTCACCAGCAATATTTGAGCACTTGTTTTTATGCATGCAAGTACCTGTCCCTGTTGGGCTTCGGAACTTCACGCAAGTTTGATTGACAGACGCGCAGACTCAAACACACGATCGATAATACGCCTGGTATGACTCTACATTTCCTTATATCCTCACGAGCGCTACTTGTATCTTTCCTATAAACTCGTTCTGCATACAGGCTCTATTTCACATAGCAGTTGCACTATATACGATGCGCCGCGAGTCAACACGACGAGATTTGGTGTAAAAAAAGTGTTACTAACCATTGGGGAGTCTTTGCCTACAACAAGACTTAAGGGGGGGTTATAGTAGCTGCTTCAGGCTGCATGCATTATATGGTAAGTTTAAGACGTTCAAGCAAAACAAGGCTTACCTCTCTCTTGACCTTGTCCTGCATACATCACACGATCAGTGCGGCACATTCGGTGCCAAACAAAACAACGCTTACCGGCACTGCGCTGACAAGGGCCGCCAGGCCGAGGAGCATAAAAAAAGCAGTAGAGAGGCGGATAAACATGATGATGAGTTGATTTCGCTCAAGGAGGTTGTTGGCAACTTTATTTTTGATGCTGTCTTTTTTATACTCCACAGAAGAGGGCGTCAAGCTATGTCTTGAGCATGCTGGCACAATCGAGACGAGACAGTTCAGTGGTCCACCAAAGGAGCTAGTTGTCTTAATGCATACATGGCCCACCGAGTTGATGGAAGTCCGAACCGAGTCGGTGGGTAGCAAGCCTCGTCGACAACCGTTGTTCCCTCGCGCGTCCCAGCAATAAACAACAAAAGGAGAACGCGGTACATTCACACCTATCTTGATATCGATAGATCAGAATTTGAAAACTTCAGTTCGCCGCTTTTATTTGTCATTCAAAAAAATTCGAGTCGTAGGTGCGACCGTGTTATCCTTCTGGGATCTGAAGTGTTTCAGCTCCAAGTTTTAGTAAGAACAATGTACGTGCCTTACAGCAGAAGTCATTGATAAGACCTCCAACACCGCGGCCGCTCGGTAAGGTATTATTTTCTGCCCATGTACAACCTTAAGCACCTTGGTGACATGCGTATCTGCTACTGCACATAAATGCATCGCACCTGACCTGCAGTCCCCTTCTACCTACCACACCTAACCTCCAACCTCCAACCTCCCGCATCATGTGCTAGGTCCAAATGCAACTAGTATAACTTCATGAAGCCTGGCTCGCGCAGGCAACTCCACTCTCGACCGAGCCCCGTGATGCAGATGGCCTTCTTGCTGGTCCAAAGAATGCCTCGCCTGACGACATTGACGAAGTTGAAGTGCTGGAGGGAATTTGACGAGTTGGATCGGGTCGAAAAACTTGAAGGAAGTCATACTAATACCATAGCAGTGTTCTAGATGAAGTTGAGGTGGCTAATTACGATGGTGGGGATCATGGATGGGACGAGGCAACGTTGGCTGGGATGTCATCGTTAGGAATGTTGTACACATAGTCTATGCATACAGTCTAGAGTTTCACCGTCCCGGAAAAACTGACTCCAAGTAGTTTGGCCCCATACACTACTTAATCATGGGCACGCAAACGGATTGCAGCACAACATGACGCGTGACGCGTGACGGCCGGGCTGGACACAATTGACGCCGTGCCGTCGGCTATTCGTTGTTAGACTATAGTACTGGTCCAAGTTGGGTCCATCGGGATTCGGCCGAGGGCAGCCTTGAAAGTTCCTTTCAAAGTCTTCGCGTTTCAAGTGACGATAACGTATTAAACTGCTTCAGAAACTTCACAGCCAATACGATGAGTGTGACACTCGCCGAGTTTCCGAATCAATATCTGTGCCTCATTTGATCAAACCTATGCGTATGTAAGTTATATATAGTTGTTCAACGGGTGCGTTCTGCATTTATTACTAGTATGCAGTTTGACCAAAGATCAAAGATTGTATGTGCCTAGGAATAGAGTATGATTTTTGCTGAAACTACTACCTCAGGTGCAACTGTATCCTCTATCAAGTCGCTCCCCAGCCGGTACATCCAGTGTCTTTGAAATCAAACGCTCCATCACGATTACAGCAAGCCAAGTTTAAACTCGAATCATATGATCCAGTGTTTACACGGCCACCTTGATGGGTTCACACTCATTCATCATAAGAGCTAAGAAGGCGCATGATGTGTGTGTGAAATATATCTTTGACCTCTAGATGGAGTATTCGACTGACGATATTGCAGCAGCGAGGAGCTTGCAGTTCGCTACGGTGTGTCTCCTTGTTGACATAAGGACAAATCTAACTGACAAGTCATGTACCATCAGTACATATTCAGTGCGTACTGTCTGAAGTTCTGAACCCCATAGTCTTTATCCTAACACAGTTCAGCGTCCATGGCTACAATATGGGTAGGCTTATTCTGATCTATCAACGTCCACTGTCAAACTCGCTTATCCAGACCTATGATTATGCATGTTCATTTCATGAAGAGGTAACACGCTTGTTCCATGATACACCTCAGTTTTTATATGTTGTGCAAAGTGGACATTTTTGCTTCGATCGCACTGGGGTAAGATGAAAATCATGTATATCGTTACGCGATACCTCCCCTTTATCATTCTCGCCATTGATCTATATAGTGCGTTCTGCTCCAGCGCACATCGCCCCGATGATGAATTAACACTTGTTTTTCAGTGAGCTTTGCCCCAAATGAGAATCCAGCTGTATGTGTTGCAGTGCAGGATTAATGAGAACGAACGACTTATTGCATGCCTTCGCCAGAAATGCCGGGTGTTGCAAAATATTAATCCAGGTACGTGCATAATACGTGTACATCCTTGCCGAAGGCTACTACTTTCCTCCCACAGGTCTTGACCTAGTTTTAGTTATTTTCTCCGAATGTATCTCTCGTTCCCTTGTACTACTATGTATGTTTCTGATCTGATTCATCTAGGCTTTTTTATTCTCAGAACATATGCGCTCTGGAACAGAAATAGATTCTTGCTCGTAGCCATGCTGTTGACCTTGTTTGTGAGTCCCTAATCCACTCACCATACCCCAGCTAGTGGTAGATGTATCAGCCAGGCTGTTCTTGGAGCCTCCACTGGCATTACCTTCTCCACTACCATCCCTGCAGCACGTATGTGTTCTCTTCTTCCCTCTGGTGTTCCACGACCACTAAAATATTGTGTTCACTTCATAGATGCGACTAGCGCAATCCCGGGAATCACAGGGTGCTACCGGAGTTCGACAAATTACTGGCTCTTTATACCATTTCTTCTCCTTTCTGTATTCGAACTGGGTGGGTAACCAAGAGCATATATATGTACAAACGCGCCCTGACAGGTGTTCTTCCCAGGACTCATGATCCTCACGCTCATACCTGCCATACAGAGCTGGCGGACAAATTCAAATGGTCTGTACGCTGTCCTGGTGAACCATAACATATCCTATTATGCATGTGGTCTTCGTGAGTCAAACACTTGTACATGCTATTTTCCGCACTCATCCATTCTCTGTTCTGAAGTGTTCTCGGCAGCGAACATCTTCACATCGCTGCTCCTCGAGGTGCGTGAATCTATTAAATATATTTTTGACCGAGCTGTTGATGTTCTGCGCACCAGTACTCTTACCACAGCGTGTTCTATGAGTACGCACCTCCACATCTCGCTGTGTATTCCTGCTAACAATACCCGAAACGTACATCCATGTATAGTTTTGAGTTCATGATCCTTGCAATCCTCGCCACACGCATGCATCTTCATCTCTGGAAGACGAACCGACATCCACACGACTCTACTAGTGCCCTCGTGCATGTTCCAATGTCCGACATGTCATTTGCAAATCACTCAGTGTGATGTCTTATTCTATGGCTTACGGTGCCGTTCATGGAGCGAAGCTTGGACCGTACAAGATAATTGGCGGGGGTGGGTTTGGTAGAGTTTGTTATGTGCTTCAATTTATAGGACGAGTTTGTCGCGGGGTGGTAAGAGCCATCTTGGTCTATTTAACGCCTATATTTTGCATTGTAAGCGGCAGCAGAGGGATCCAGAATTTGAGTGTGCTAGAGCCAAAATTAACGATGATCTAATTCTGCTCCTACGACACATGTGTGAAGCACACATATGCATTTAAATAGATGCTGTCCGCGACGGAAGCTGTATTCGCTCCAAATACTACCGCTAAGTCACCGTCAGGTAGAACGATGTAGCCGTTGTATTTTTAGTAGTTTTTATTGTCATTGATATATTGATTTTTGAATAGCAACCAATCTATGAAAAGTGCAGGTGGTCGCCATATAGTACTGGAACGAAAGAACGAAAAAGGAGCAATGAGAAGTGGCAATAGGATGAAAGCCTGCGTCAGTGCTGGAAGGTGCAGATGGTAGCCATATACAACTGATAATGTCGTGGAACAAAATGGAAGAGTAACTTGGAGGTAAAAAGGAGGGGAAAACTCGAAGGACACGCAAATGGATTGCAAATGAGCAGCACAGCATGACGAGGCGCAAAGATGTACGTCTATTAGATGACTCACAATTGCAAGAACGATGTGAAGGCCCATGAATCAAAAACCGTACGGCGGGAGGCGCCTAATGCACTTCGGTTGAGGCTTCTTCCATTCCTCTGGTGTCCCAATGAAGGAAAATCCACCTGCGATTACTGAACCTTCGGGTGGATACCCGACTCGATCAGCAAGATCCTGAACTTCTGCTGGTGCACCCGTGCTATTCTGCGGGTCCCGTGGAGGTTGATGTGGGTGCCTTGGCCCGGGGGCATTGTTAGGCCAAGTAGGAAGATAACACATTTCCTGCAAGTAGATCATGCTTAGTCTGGTGCGCTAGGAAATAAGTTGTTTGGATCCCACCTCTGGGCCGCAAGCAGGTCGGCATTTAATCCATATACTCCAGTCTAACCAAGACATCAGCTTCTCGGTGTCTTGTCTCCGATCATTCATTATTTGGGGGACATCAGGCTCCCCATTCAGTTCAATAGGGAAAAGAGTGTCGAGCCCGTTCATGACACCTACCGCCCACATTTTCGTGGTGACACGGCAGACTTCTCTCGTTGTCTCCTCGACGGCTTTCAGCAGCAAGTGTTCCGAAGGCGTCATGAAGGGTATTTGCTTTATCATCACGGAGGTATGTGTTGTGGCGCATAGCCTGAAAATTGGGGACGCCCACTGCAGAGTGTCGACATCTGAAGTACTTGCACTAGGGACGATAGTGGAATCCAATAGATACGGCATAAGCATAACACGGAGCTGGATTTGTGTGAGTTTCGCTCGTTCAAGGACTTCTTGCGGGTCTGATGAGGTGAAATTGAGGAGATATTGCATCAACTCAAGTCGATTCGCATATCGATCGACGATGACGTGGATAAGTGTCTTCCAGTCAAGGTCGCTGTTTGTCGGGTGTGGTCTACTAATGACTTCGGTGAGCTTTCTCATCACCTTTGATATGTCGTTTGATGATATTCCTAACACCCGATGGTCCCACCGTTCAAGCCCCTCGCGAACCGGGACGAGGGAAGGTGCCAGTGCGATATCATACAGCGAGACAAGACCAGTCAGGTCGAGCACAATGCGAGAATCTCCTGGGTATCGATTGTGCCATGAGCCGGAGTGCATGACTTCAAATCTGCGAACCTCTGCACCAAGAAACATAAACGTCAGTCGTATTGGTATATGGGAAGATGATACTGACGGTTATTAGGATCCAATGGAGGAGGGGAGGGAGGGGAGGGAGGGGAATGGTCTTTGTCCGTTGGTGAAAGCCGGACATACAAGAAAGATACTAGCTCAACACCAGCCGTAAAATCGCACAGCATAACTTCACTAAAAGTTCATCAGTTAGAAGTGCGACACAGAATAAGAGCATGCGCACAAGTCCATTTCCATCCTGAAAGTCTGAGTCAGTTATATACCATAGCGAGATAAGTTCGCTAACCTCGCGAAACCATCGATTCCGAACTCCTTTCCCCACCTACAGAGATCTTCGATCCGTGATCTTTCATCGAAGAATCGCTCGGGTTGCACTTCTCCCCAAGCTATTATATCCTGCGTATCCATTGTACCCTCGGCTACCTTGGCAGCACTACTTCCATCAAAGTACAAGACCTTGAGAGGTCGTGTTGTTGCCAGCGTGAGCTGCCAGCCACTCCCATCTTTTCCACGGGCAGCGAAAAGAAGAGAATGCTCTGGATCTGTTGCAGTCCATTCGGGCCCACTGGGTATCGTTTTGCGGCCGGTGCCGTGATACAACAAAGTACCAGTTGGAACCACTCCTGGTACTATGTTATGTCCTATGAAAAGATGAAACATTTGTCCAGCATCAGCAAAGTAGCGAAAAGTGATACGTACCATTACGATACCGAGTGTTTGGCCAATGTTGCAGGAATGAATGGACAGTGTCGAAGATCAAGTTCCCTGTCGCGTTCTCGGCAGGACCTTCGTCAAACCTCCATTGCTCAACCTTCGAATCGAAACTATATGAATGTGATTTGTCATTGTCCAAGTTGCCAATATCCAAGGGTCGAACGCTTTCATCAGTAGTACTGACAGGGAATTGACCATGTAGTGCTAGAGCTGCTGACCCTAGGCTCAGAACTACCACGAGAGAATGAGAGCGCATTGCGATAACCGCTCAGCGGGTGTTATCGCATCTTTATCAATGCATTGAACGTGTGACAAACCAATACTCGCTATAGCTGCTGCGGCGGCACATACTCAGTAGCGTCTATGAATGACTCATCAGTTCTCTGATGGAAGATCCGGATGTTCGCCAGACTCTCCGGAATTATAATATCTTATCCAACCAAGGGTAGACTCTCAGATAATCTCTCCGGTCTGAGACATCGGCAGGCACACAGAGTTGTGCATGATGCATGAACATGCACCATTCCAACGGAATTGTTATGGTGGTGGTGGCGGGCACGTTGGTGGCCGAAACATCGAGCGGAGTTTAAACTCTGCTGTGCACTTTAGCCCAGTTGGTAATATCGACCTGAAGCACGGCAACTTCCGCGCCGTGTGTGTATGGCTCTGCCAGCACCTTCACCTATTCATCTGCTACGCTCGCATTCCAGCGCAGTGAGTACTCTCTCCATTTCGACGGACAACGAGAGAATCTACTCCGGAGATACTGTGGGACAAGTCATCGTCACTTCCACGCGCTCATTGCGACCACTCGCATCATGGAAAGCTCACACCGACTCCCTGCTGGGCATCGAAGAATGGGGTTCTCAAATCATAACGTGAGTAGTTATCTGTTTTGTCCCGGCATTTATTTCTAATGTTGTGACTAGACACGGGAGGGATAATAAACTTCACGTCTGGGCTCGACCTGAAGAGTCCGCTTCCATTAGACAAGGACCTGCGACTTTGTCAGATCTATCAACACCAACAATATGTTATACTATGGATATCAACGCTCTTAACTACTGCAGGTTCTCTCTCCTTACCATAGCAGGGGCGAGCGCGCAGGAAGGTCTACTCGCCGTTCCGAACCTCGTGGAATCAGCTCTTGTAGGTAATCATTTTGGTGTGTAGTACGGCGTGATCTCAGTATGAACTGACCAGGCAGATATCTGGTCACTTCCATCGTGTCAAAGGCTCCACGCTGCTATAGGTGATCCGCTAGACACTTCCGCAACAGCCTTTTCGGATGGCAGGTCAGGCAGTAAATCCGGGATCATCATGTCAATGCATCTTTTTTACTCTGCGTTGTCTGCACCTTCGTCCTCTACGTCAGCAAGAGAGCTGCACCTGTTATGCGCATACGAAGATGGAAGCGTTGTCCTGCGGAAGCGGACTGCACACGAGACCAAACAGACTGTCGAGGGCCGTGGATGGGAAGTCGTGTGGAAATCCAAACTTCATGTAGAATCAGGTTCGTCGAAATATGTAACATTATCATGGGGATTCTGACATAACTTGTCGTTTTAAGTGATGGCTATGGCAGTTTCTTCAGACTGCATTCTTGCTTTGACAGTGTCGGCGGACCATTTAGTGGGACGATATGATCTTTTGGTTCGTGTTCGGGTAGCCCTGCATGAGTTTGCTCTCTGAGATTCTGAACAGAAGACCCAGGAGGCGTCAGAATCCACTCCCGCAGGAACTGCATTCAAGACCAAACATCCAGGAAATGGCGCTGTTGCCATACGGAGCGACGGGAGAGTATGCGCGATTGGGGGATGGGACGGCAAGTCAGTTGACCGGAAGAACGTGTCGTTTGAATCGAGCTAACTTGTCAAGCAGAGTGCGGTTATATTCAACAAAGACATTAAAGTTGCTGGGAACCCTTGTACACCACAAGCAAGGATGTCAGACGGTTACGTTCGCCTCTCACATTGACCGTGTACCTCTCTGCGGAGACTTGAAGGAGGATGACTCCTCTAGTGACGAGGATGAAATTACCGTCGAGGAAAAGCATGCCCGTGGTCGGTGGTTGATTGCTGGTAGTACAGACGCGAAGGTATCGATCTGGGCGTTGATGGACTTCGAGAAGACAAGCACATAAGTTGAACCGATGCATCATGCCCATGGTAAAATGAGGACGTGGCATATTCCTTGTTAATTAATTGTATGTTTGTGCGCCGCAACTAGTCGTCTGAAATAAGGCGTGGCAACCTTTAGCCTGTCCGAGGACACCCGAGAGATGGTCAGCAAGCCAAATCTGTTGGAACGTCGGAACTTTCACCTCCCTCAGATCTTGCACTTGTCGAGAAAGATGTTTCGCAACACCGTTGAACGGGTGCCAACCGGGATGCCTCCCGACAACATACATAATCGTCGTTACCCGGAGTCGTCGCCCGATGACTGACAAACTAACGCCACCTCTTGATCACTCGCCTGGAGGTCAACAGTTCAGTGACACTACAAGTCCTAGGGCGATGACGAGAGTCCGCGAGGCGCTGTGGATCGCGGACATCGCACAATCGTTGCAGCACACGAAAAAGTTGAGGGCGCCGTCGGGTCCTCAGCGCCAGCGATGACGTTGAAAAAGCGTTCTCATACAACAACGCCGCCTAGGCACTGGAATACATGATAAGTGGCCTAGCGCATGCGACGTTCAAATCATGTGGACCAGATTCATCGATGGGAGAGAAGTAAAGTTGATGGCAAGCCTGAGTGCGAGTTGGGGTTTGCGAAGCATGCCGGCAACCGCCAAACTCACGAATTTCCCTAGTCGAGCTCGGCACCTGCGTTCACAAAAGTCTCACTTGGTCGCCTATCATTATCAGACTATGAAGGCAGTCGTTCCTTTTCGCTCACTAGGTAAGCTGTTAGGTGTAGACTATGCCATCATGATGATCAGGTGTCGTAAGTGCGGATGTCTCAGGTGAGTGATTATGATTCAGACTAGGGGGCACACCATTCAATTCTAATCATGACGTCGCTCATATGTCTCAGTTTAATGCCGTGCATATTGGTCACAGTATATAATCTCGCATTCTGATTTTCGCATCGTTCTATAACTTGACTTACAACTCCATCTTGCATATCCATCCAACTCATCTTCATCCATGGCTTTCGAAATGCAGCAACTCCTTACTTCTGGCAGGCTCCAGAATTCCGACTTTACTACCTTACATTCTGCCTACGGGTCCAGCACCTCCGGCGCCGAAGTCATGTCTTCCTTCTCTATCGTCACTCAGGACATTTCACCCAACACCTCCCGCCTTTCTGCATACTCCAATGATTCCTCTACCCATAAACTTAAGCGCAGGCATGCCAAGCGCGGGCGCTTTTCCAAACGCAAGGCGGCTATGAGTCTACTTGAAGATGCTAGCGCATGCGACCCCTTGACTCTGGATGCTATTGCTAGCCTTTCCTCAAACTGGCTCAACCTGTCCTTCCCAGACCGCACTCCTACCTACACGGACTACTTCGTGAATTACTGGCGACATGCATTAGCAAAGGAGCAGGACATTTTGATGGATCATTTTACTGCTGTCATGGCAGTCGTCCATGAGGATTTACCGGCTACCTCAACCACCCGCTCGACTCAGCCCACTTTCGTGCAATGCAACGAGGAGTCCTCCAGCATTCAATACGAAAATGCCCTATTTGCAGTCACTTGTCCTTGGGACGATGGCGAGAAATCTCACCTAGACGACTGGATTGAATGGGACGAATGGCGTCGGGAAGATGAAGTTTATATCCCAACAGGCGATCGTCATGACTATGGAGCTATTGGCCAGCCACCAATATATCCGCTGCGCAACATGGGCACCCATTTCCAGATCGTCGCACCGAAGCCGGTTCGTGCATGGAACAACATAACCTGGCTGGGTCATCCACCTGTCACTCCTGAACCAGTCTCTCGCCACTATATGGAGATGGTTGTCGATGATGCAGCCGTCTATGGGACTTCACAAACTCCTTTTATGGAGAGTTCCACCATCTATTCCACTGCGTACCACACGCACGCCGAGTCGACTATCATCTATGACTCTGGCAGCGCATCTCCCTCCTCCTACCTGTCTGTTCTTGCTGCCTCTATGCCTTCTACTGGCAGGCGTATTACTCCTCCATGTGTCAATGATCCCCATCCTACCACTCATGGAACAAAGGCAATTTCTCTCGAAAGACAACATTCGAGAGATCACAAGTTGTTCCAATTTTTACGTGTACGTCCCTTCTCTTATCTCGCGTCAGTGATCAAGGTACTGATTGCTGCTGTGTAGATGTCTTATGATCAAAAGGTCCTTGAGCTTGAAAGATTAGTTGGATGGATGAAATCTCATTCGCTACGGATGTGACCCCAGCTTATATGCATGATATTTGTTTGTATATTAATTATGGATTGTAATGATCAAGGACATTCGCTATGCATTCAATTTTCGTTGTGACGTCGTTTTCTTTTCCCGTACGCATCGTTGCTGAGTTCAAGAGTTGCTCTTGAGTGATATACTAACGCGTTATCCTTTCCAGCGATCCTCAGTCGTATGGCCCTCGAATACCTTCCGATCTTGTGCCTTTGTATACAAGGATTCCAGACCGCCAGGTGAACATACACTACTGGTGACTGAATGCCATACCCGTCATTGATATTTTATATTTGGTTCGGATGCGAGACAAACCCCTATACCGCCAGCATCTTCGTTACCTTCCAACATTTGGTACCCGTGACAGAAAAACCTCCGTCGTACTGAGAGATTTGATGCTGGTCTTTGCAAGCTGAATACAACCTAGGCTGCCCCTGACTTCATAGGAGAATACGGTCTGTATAAAAGTACGCCTCTTATAATAAACTAACAACTAGAGCAAAAGACGGTTTATTTCAAAAAATTAAAATACATAAACTCGTTTATCGTCACTGTAAGGTTAGCCCAATGACAGTGCGTATGGTATACTCGTAGTATATCTCGGTTTGACTGGGTAGTCTTAATATAATCTTGTGCTCTAGTGAGTGAGGAAGAGTGTCCTCGGCACTTGTACAGCAGAAAAACGAAATGCGTGATGGGGTACTGAATCTCGGTCCCAGTACTATTAACGAATAAATACATCGAGGTTTCGTTGCCTCCAGCTGTGGATTCGAGCCCAGGCGGAGATTATGCCCATTGAAAAATCATTTCGGCCAACGGTTTTTGCGGCGCAAAGTCATCTTGATTCCACCATTCCGAATTTCCGATCACATCAATGGTCATCAGCGCCCGGCCGCCCCCATTGGACGATCCGAGTCGGTCCATTGTGCCACGTCTGCACTCTGCGGAGAGCCAGATTGGACATTGTGGACCCACGAGTGCCAACAAAGCCCGCTCCATTCGACTGAATAATAGCATCGATGAACACCGGATACCTGGCAACAGGAACAGTTTCTAGCATGAGAATGAAAAAAAAATGAAATTTAATTGACTCACCATTTTCCATAGATTTCCTCCGTCCGATCTGTCGCATAGTCTACCCACGTCCAGCCCAACGCCCGGACCTCTGACCACCATTCCGGGTCAGACTCATCACTCGTCATGATAACATGTGTGACCTCGATACCCTTTTGCGTGTGAAGTTCCTCTTGCACCTCGGATACCCTGCGCGCAATGATAGACAAGGAGGCAAAGCACTGATCCAAAGGAAGGCCACGACACTGATCGCGGAAGTCACCATGCCGTATGTGAACGGATATATACTATGGAAAGTTGGTAAATCTGCGGATCAGCCTATACCCGAAAATCCCACTCACGGGAGGTACTGGTTCGTCGGCTGGCACATTCATGGCACGCCGGGCATGCGCATCGGCGAGCTTTTCCATGGTTACATTCCATCGCATGTGTTGGCCTACAAATCTCCATGCAGGAGAATAATCCATCTCCCATTCCCATGGACGTTGGGCGCCTATGAAGTAAAGAAAATCGAAGCATAGTAGCTGGTCGTCTGGGGGAAGTGAAACGTGATGCTGAGGAGAAGGACGATTCGGTAATCCCAGACTTTCCGAGCGAGCGAGCGGAAACGCAAGCGTTGCAAGGGACCAAAACGACGCGTGGTCGTCTATTACGTCAGGAGGCGTGAGTTTGACCCAATCTGGGGTTCGCGTCCACGAAATATCTGATGGCCACGTAGTTAATTCACTGGTTAGAAATATTCAAGGTTGTCTTACCGAGTTTGAGGCGATCTATGATGGGACTTTCACGAGGACGGGGATCCTCCTTGTATCTTTCAACGCTTTCCCAGACGCTCCAACCACCAAGATCATCGAAAACCTGACTTTCCGAGTCCTTTACTTCGTGCCATTCAAGTAAGGGAATGCCTATGGCTTGGCTAAGCCGAGGGACGTCAAAAACTTCCCCAAAAGCAAAAGGAGGTTCACTTGAGTCGATATGAGAAGAGAGGAATTTCGCAATTATTGGAATACGCTCTGTTAGGAGTGCCAGGTAGATTAAATTGCCCTAGTATTTGTAAGGAACCGGGACAATGTTGGAAGTGGATCGTTGACTTACATAGGTCATCACGTCATTCGCTAACAAGTAACTGTGATCAGTGGTGCAAGTGGTAGTTGGCTAGAATTGACGTACTCCATCCCGCTGAACTAAACGATGTAATGTATTTTGTGTCGTTACGAAGGTTGTCTGAGACGATTATTGTGAGATACAGGTGACGTTTTGGCCGATTAACTGACCTCGAAAGCGTTGGGTAGGTGGACCTTGAAGATATGACGACGAGTTGGAGGCGGCAGAATATGAAGGCACATCTTGTGTGTCGAGATAGCTTGAGGGTTTGAGTAGGAGAAATCCAAAGCCGAGCAAGGATATACCTGCCACAGCAGCGCATATCGTTCTGCGAGATAGTTTTCTTCCTTTAGTTGGTCGTGGTTTGGCACCCAACGTAGGAATAAATGGAGTCTCTGAGTCGTCGTATGGATCCTGTGTGTCCATGAGATGGGGGGCTTGAGGGTGCTCAATTAGAATCTTTGTATGAGGATGATGGTGAGTATTTACGCTATGTAAAACTCAGGGCAACGCTTGATCAGCCTCCCGTGAAAGATCCGAGTCGTCCACGGTGACGCCACCTATTTGGTGTCAGTCGGCACCCGCCCGATGGCATCAGAAGGCACCACGTACGCATTAGGAACCATTTAGGCTCAAATCATTTTAAGAAGCGGAAAAACATCGGCGCAAGCACTTCAATTTCAAGGAACTGTGCAGGACCCATGTGATGTCCGGTAACTGGAAAAGTTGAGGCTTTCTTGCAACTGCGTTCGTTCGAATTGTTCCAATGTTCCTAGAATGTCTGGTATCAGGGACTATCTGTCTCTCTCACATACTGTGCGAACATCTTCACAAGGCTGATGTGTATATTTCCAACGGTCACAAAATAAGCACTTACCTTACTACGAGTCTTGGAATATCGGAAATAGAGCAGGGCACTCCATAAAAAGTGAGGTTGGAAGCGCTGCCATAAACTTCCGGTATTGTGAGGAAAGATGGACCACATGCACTTCGACAAACCCATGTGCGAGAATGATAGCAATGGAGAGAATCGTCGATTCAAGCATGGCAGAACAACCAGAGTCTAATGAATTCGTGATTCCATGATCTCCAGAAAAGAGTAACTTCCTAAAGTGAACCGCGAAGGAGGCATGTCTTTCGGCAGACAGCTGTCCATCGCGTAGATGACGGAGAATTGGTTCATAGAATCTCTTGGCGTTTAACCCGGGTTGTTTGAGTCCATCGCAGATTTAGCTAAAGGACTATAGGAGAGCTGGAATAGCTGGCTAAGACAAAGGTTCCTCCACAGACAAATCTGGTATGTTGTTGACGATGAACAAGGAGGAATGTGATTTTCAAATAGCACGTGACTAGTGACTTGTTTGGCAAAACCTTTGGATCCAAACAACATATAGACTTTTTACGTCCTCAAATACCATATCTGTCAAGTACTAGCGACGACAGCCACAAGCCTAGGGCGCCATCATCATTATGGCCACCACATGCCCCTTCACTGGGTATCGCCAAGTAGATTCATTTGGTCCCGATGAAGAGTATTCATCAGACACCGAAGAATTCTATGTCACCCTTGATCTCGGTACTGTCGAGCCAACCCTACTTCCCAGTAGCTCAACCTACAGGCTTGTAGTAAGCATAAGACCTCATATATCATAGCCATCACTACAAGGCAAAAAAAAGGGCTTGGATACGCCTACGCCATTCCTGCAGCTTTCTGGTTCCTTCTTCAGGGGTAGGCATGATACGCTCCTTGGTTCGGAGCTCTTGTTCACTGAAGGAAAAAGTACGTAAATGTTTTGTCCATCAAGTTAAATTGACATTTTCTGTCGATCAAAGATGATTCCGAAAGAAATACGCGAGCTTTGACGCACGTCGGCGTCACTGAACGACGTATCCGATTCAAGGAGGTGCAGCTACGGCAGAAGACCCGTGAACAATTGGAAGAGGCTCCTGCTGTCGGTGCGAACTCTCACAATGGGGCACAAGCAGAAGCTGCTGGTCATTCACTCGGACGCATGATTGGGAGTGTTACAGAGCCCCGATCTCGAAAACGCAAGAAACGACGTGACAAGGGGAAGGGGAAGGAGAAGGAGACGTCCCCGCAGGAGGAGGGGAGAGACGATGCTATGGATACCACTTAGTTTTGCCATAAGGTGATTCGCCCTTATCATCTTATCGTTCTGCATATGTCGCGTGTCAACCTTTAAGTGGTCGATTCCCCAGTTCCCTATGAACTGCAGCTTGAAGATTTGGTAGAAATATCCATACTTTAATTACAATGTACTTCGGATAATTAATTAGGCAAAGCAACGGGTGATGGTATCGTAAGGCGAGCAGGAAGATGAGACACATATCATGCTCTGACCTCTCCCATCGCCGAATAAAAAGGTCAGATCCAAAAGTATACTATACAACACCCTAGTGACGGTGTCATCACAATAAATGTGCAGCTCGCAAATCTGCCTCTGCATGCTCCTGTTGTGTCGTGGCTGTGAAGGGCGAACCGAGAGACGTGTGCTCACTCTCTTCAAGCGGTGCGATATCGAACGCCTGCTCAATATTTCTCCTCGCTGCGATGTCACGAGCAATATCCTCAGGTGATTGGGGCTCGTGTGCACTTGAGGCACGGATGGCAGATTCCCAGTTCTTCACACGCCAGAAACCGACCAAAGAGGAAAGGAGCAAAAACCAACCTGTGAGACGGAGTAAGTAAACAGAAAAAAACGAAGACAGGTAACACGTACCGAGAGTCATCAAAAGAAATGATAGCCACTCTCGTGAAGACATGTTGAGAACAATGGTATTGGTATTGGTATCCTGAGGCATGGGAGCCAAGGATGAAGATGAAGGCGGTGCGGATAGCATGAGAACATCAGGAACGCCATTGCCATCAGCCGTGGGACGCATGGCATCTGCTGCAGAACGAGAGTAAAAGCCATATTGGATCAATGTTAACCCAAGGCCAGCTCTCGAGCCATACTTTGCGGCGTGTGTAGTGTGGAGGAGGTATGTGAGGAGGAAGCCGATGAACTGGAAGAAAAATGAGACGAAGAGGTTCGAAATGAATGCGAGGATGGAGCCCGAGGGAAGATCGCCGACAATCATCCCAGCATCGCTATCCATTCCGGAAGGAGCGTGTATGATAGTATCCCAATACGGGGGTACAGCATCTGCTTGGGCTGTCGCATAAGACTTCAAAGATAATGAGGTGTGGTATATTAAAAAATGAGTAAGCATAGGCATACGGGTGGAGCATTGTTCTGCGTGTCCTCAGGGACCATGTAGATGCTGCCATCATCAGTTTGTATTGGCACCGAGACTGAGGAGGCGGGTTTGACGACAACATTTGAGAACACTCCATCATTCTGTATCCCTCCACCTCTCACCCCAGCAGGTGGTTCGTCGGTCGGTACGCGGACATAGTGAGTAGGTAAGATAGCCCCAACTGCCCTGCGCAAGAATGATGGTCGTGGTAATGTCGTTCCCAAAGGAGAGGTTGGTAATTCGCCGTTCGAATTGCCAATATCGTTGGGTAAAGCAGTCGCTAGAAGCTGTGGGGGAGAACCAGGGGGCGGACGGTCGTAATCGTAATTCCGCTCAAAGTCATAAATTCCAGGAATTGTCGTACTACCTGGCGTGCTTTTGGGGGGATCTGCGAGGGTCTCAGCATGCGGACGATTAGATGGAGAGCGTTCAATGTAATCCTCATCATCATCGGCGTCGGACTCAAAGGCGTCGTTGAGTTCACGATCAACATCTCGTGATGACTGCTGCGTTGGCAGCGGTGCGTAATGTGCAGACATGGCAGGTCGCATACGAAGGATATGGCAGGCCTGCAGAGGTGCTACTATGTAAGCGGCTGCGGCGTCCACACCAAGTTCTCACGAGACTGTATGCTCTTCAATTGCAGTAGCCGGCATTACCGCCATGGACCCTGGTCCCTGGCATAGCCTCCTTGTTGTTTGTTCCGACCAAATCAACAGGGAACGTAATATCTTATATTGTACCATCATGCACATGACATAAGTGTGGCGATCTCTGACCATGCTGTATGACCTCTATATCGTTCAGAAACCGTGTTACTAACGTTGCTAAGTGATTACAACCCCGAAAACTGCGTCGGAGAACTTGGCCAAACCTGTCGAGTTCAAATTGCGCACACCATCCTGTGGCATCTCTTTGCATACTGTCCATCACATCAAAATACAGCGCCAGACCCCCGCTCGCAGTTGACATCCCCTCCATCAATCCTCCTTGTCAACTACCGCTAGTGGTGCGGCCTTGTACATACTACCCTACAATGTCTACGTCATTGGTAGTCGTAATCCCATGTTGCATCTTGATCTCACCCAGCAAACCAAAGACACGAGAATTTCGGTTGATTCATGATTAAAATTTCATCATATGTGAAGGACAAAACATCGTCAAAGAGATGCTACACTACACGCCCAACTTCTGTGTGGGAGAGGGTAGCTGACACAAGGGACATACGGATGAAGAAACCAAATGTGGTGCATGGGGATTCGGGAAGCGCTGTCCCAAGGAATGCGTTCGACTGTAAGTGTCGATGTGTCGAGGTTACCACGTCTGTGGGTGCTGGTGTCCGTGGGCTGTAGGGAGCGAAAGCGCGCGGAGAGGTGGAGGCAGAATTCGGAGCAGCTAGCTCGGCGATAGACGGTTAAGGGATTGATGTGAACGTGGCAGAACAGCACAGAGTAGGCAAGCACGAGGACGGCGAACTTCGACTTGAGAATGTCGATTAGGAGGATATATACTTACCGAGCGGTAGTTGAGGTCTTTGATGTAATTGATGCGTTCAGGAATTCACTGCACACCCTGCCGATCACCCCACAGAAGTCGGGACTCATGCAAATGTCACTGGTCGAGGACGAGTCTAAAATGACCGGTCTGAGTGAAGGTCTGCGTCTGCGACCAGGTCTGGGTGCACACTCAGCACGCGTGGTGGAGTTTGAAGTCGTCAGTGGCTAAGATTCGGGCATGATGTGATTAGATAAATTACGCCGAGGCGACCTTGAATGAACACAATTGGATTGTTACACAGTAAGGAATGGACGCACAACGATCAGCTAACTGGACTGGTGTGGAAGCAATGATAACAAAATGTTCATGCGCTCACGAGTCACTAGTCATGCACGGAAGATATGACGCAACGAAGAAAGACACAGGCAAAAAACGGATACTGGTCATGAATAGCTCGGCGAACTCGAGAAAGCATAATAAAACTTGCCTAAAACACGGGAGGTGATCACTGGCAGATCTAGATACCACCACCAGCAAAAACGAATGAACTCAGAACGGCCATCATGATGGAGAGCCAAGATCGAGGTAAATGATGACAAACTATTTGGATAAAGTTCGGACCGGCTAGTTCGTGATGACGGACAATAATAATACAGCTGGCCACATGCCACATCAGCCGTACAAATAGAGTTGTGTTCATGCAAGCTTCCAAGCTCGGGCCCACGTTTATTCAGTCACTAGGTTCATACCAGGTTACTCCCCAGTAAAATAAACAAGTGGGAGCTCGATTCGTGATCTGCTATCGTCACACCCACCAACTACTATGTCTTCCTTCACTTATCAGTTTGACACACCGAGCTACAAGGGCACCTCAACGGTCTCCACTGGCCTATTTATCAATGGAAAGTTTGTTGAACCTGTAGAGAAGGGCACGATTGAGTATGTTTTTATCTTTACCGCACTCAGCGTCTACCTTATCATTTGATCTAGAGTCGTGAATCCGGGTAGGTCAATCAGCCTCTCATACCTGATCAGCTTTGACAGTGGATGCAGTCAATGGAAAGGTCATAACCTCGGTCGCAGCCGGCACTGCTGCAGATATCGACATTGCCGCTCGGGCCGCAAGGAAGGCTTACAAAGAGCGCTGGGGCTTGAAAGTACCTGGTGTACAAAGGGGTAGAATGCTCAACAAACTTGCAGACCTCCTCGAAGCCAACGCTGATGAATTTGCTGCCTTGGAGGCTTTGGACGTAGGTGAGGTGACACTTCAACCATATATGCTTGCTTGTGATGCGACCCCATGTGCAGGTAAAGCCTTTAGGGTGGCCCGGAATGGTGATATGTCTGGTTCTATCGCTGCCCTGAGGTACTATGCGGGATGGGCGGACAAGATTCAAGGGAAAACTATCGAGGTTAGAAAGGCTTGACATGTCTCCTTCGGGACAATTCTAATCTATACCCACCTCATAGACGAACGCAAAGAAGCTGGCTTACACGCGCCACGAGCCCGTTGGAGTGGTGGTTCGTGCTCTCATTTTGTCGTGCAGTGAAGGTATGCGAACTCAGCATCTTGCAGGGCGCCATAGTTCCTTGGAACTTCCCTCGTATGTTCATTTAATCCATATTCAGCGGGCGAATAACGACGGTGAATAGTCACGATGTTATCGTTCAAGATCGGCCCAGCTCTAGCAGCAGGAAACGCCGTCATCGTGAAACCCTCTGAACTGACACCATTGACTGCGCTTCGTCTCTGTCCTTTGTTTGTTGAAGCGGGATTCCCTGATGGTGTCATCAATGTTGTCAACGGCTACGGTAGTACTGCTGGTCAAGCCCTCAGTGAACACATGGCCGTCGACAAAATAACTTTCACAGGGAGCACACTGACTGGGCGCAAGATCATGGAAACGGCTTCCAAGACTAATCTAAAAAAGGTTACTCTCGAGCTTGGCGGTAAGAGCCCCAGTGTCATATTCGACGATGTAGACCTGGAGCAGACCGTAAAGTGGGTCTCACACGGAATATTGTATGTCACCTGCATCGTAGTCGTGCCCCTTACTCACTCCTCACAGCATGAATCACGGACAAGCGTGTACTGCGGGTTCCCGCATATTCGTACAAGCAGGGATATACGATAGATTTTTGAAGGCGTTTACTGAACATGCCTCGTCTTTGAAAGTCGGCGATCCGTTTGCGCGAGACACTTACCAAGGTCCCCAAATTTCGCAGACGCAATTTGAGGTGAGCGCTTACCAATAATGTAGTGAGCGGTTTTACTTACTTTCTATTAGCGGATCATGGGATACATCAAGTCTGGTAAAGAGGAAGGTGCAACCGTTCACATCGGTGGGGAACGTCATGGGAATGAGGGCTACTTTATTCAACCGACCATTTTCACGGAGTGCAAGCCGAATATGAAGATCGTGCAGGAAGAGATATTCGGTCCCGTGGCTGCGATCATCAAGTTCGCCACGGAAGAGGGTGGGCACATCCCATTACGGATGTATCCGAGTGTTAACAGAGTATCATAGAGGCCATCGAGCAAGCGAATAATACTGTGTATGGCCTTGCTTGCTCTGTCTTCACCAGAGACATAGACAGAGCGATTCGAGTCGCGCATAGTATCGAAGCTGGTACCGCATGGGTGAGCACGAGCATGCTAGCATTAGGACTGCTGATGATTCGATGGACATAGATAAATTGTCACAACTCCTCTGAGTTGAGCGTTCCGTTCGGTGGTTTCAAACAGTCAGGCATTGGGCGTGAGCTTGGCGAATATGCCTTGGAACAGTGAGCCAAGACATGATGGTATGGCGAGTTCTACTGACCTTTTGTTCCAGCTATACAAACCTGAAGGCTGTTCATGTTAACATTGGACACCGTCTTTGAAAGGCAGACATTGAAATATCATCCAAGTGATGTCTGTTCAGAAAACGAAGTACCAGAAAGCGAACTTAAAATGACTGAATGTATCTATGCTACCATTTCTAATGTACAACATTCTTTCTCTAAAATCTGTGAAATATGGCAGTATTAACCACAGTGCCATTCTACACATCTGTCTTTACCATTTAACAGCTCCAAACAGTCAAGGCGCGCTTGAGCAGCTTGCAGCCTTGACAGGAGCGTTCGTTCCACTTTGGGGAATGTGACAGTGTTCCAGTCGGGTCGGACCTAAACGACTCGGTTGTGAACTGTTGTGAATTATCATACCTTGTCTCTTCGATTTGTCCCGTGCTCTGGTATTTATCGTTGCTGGCAATGCTTAGAGTAGGCTTCACAAGTTTGCACGTTCCGTTTCGGCGTTGGCCCCGTGGCACTGTGAATTATCTCTCTCGATCCGCACCGGGGAGGCCATCATTTTTCACTCGGACTCTAGTATGTCATATTATCTCTAGGCCGTCACCCATAGCTCATTCCATGGTCGTGACGATCAGATCTCTAGTACACTCGAATCGCGCTGGACACACGGCTCGCTGACTAGAAGTCGTTCCATCTCCTCCGCGGCGACTAGAGAAGTGGTTTCTTCAGAGCAGCTGGGCGTCACAGAACCTAAGGTTCACAGTGATATCCCTATTGCTAACGCTGATGAGCGCAAAGTATCCATTCTATGGGGCCCACAGCGTTGGTCTAGATTGTATGGACCTTCCGCCTCGTAGTAATTCCCGAGATCTGAACAAGCAAACTGTCAGTCACCACATCTGGTTGCGCGACCACTGCAGATGCCCAGACTGTTTTCACCCGATAACAAAGCAGCGACTTCTCAACACATTTGAGGTAGTCTTGCGGCAGGGTGGTGATGGTGTCTTTACTGAGAAGAGACGTTTCCGCAGATTCCAGCTGATATCAAACCGCTACATGTACAAGGCTCCACAGATGGCCTCGAGGTTGTCTGTATGTTGGCTTAATTGAGGTTTCAACACGACTTGATCTGTTACTTAGGGCCTGGAACTAGCACCGAATCTCACTCGTCGGTATATCCATGGACATGGCTACAAGCCAACACATACGATCCAGCTCTTCAAACAACGCCAACTCGGTGCGACGTTTTCTTTTATAATCAGTACCTTGTACTTATCGCGCACTAGGAAAGTCCTTTGGGGATCAAAGATTGAGAAGTCTCCACCCTCCGTGACTTATACCGAGGTCATGGACGACAAGGGACTGCACAAGTGGCTAACGAATGTTGTGCGTAAATCGAGAGCTTTAGGTGCTTGTCTCATATGCATGCAGGAAACGTTTGGCTTTTGCTTTGTCTCAGGGGTCCCCGCAACACCTGAGGCCACAGAGGAACTATGTGAACGTATCGGTTTTATCAGAGAAACCCAGTGTACGCCCTCCCTCTTTATCCCTTCACTCCCGATCTGAATGCGCTTAGATGGGAAGTTTTGGGAATTTACTGCTGATCTTTCAAAGGGAGACACTGCGTACACCACAATGGCACTAGGAGCACACACTGATAACACCTATTTTGTATGGATATACTCATAGTTCTCGTCGCGCCACTGATTGATTGCGAGCACAGACCGACCCTTGCGGCCTTCAACTTTTCCATCTTCTATCACATACCGAAGGCTCTGGAGGAGCAACGCTTCTCGTAGATGGTTACTATGTCGCCGCCCTCATGAAAGAGCTACATCTGAAGTTCCACGATCTTCTTTCCCGTGTGCCCATCCCAGCTCATGCAGCAGGGGAACCGTCAGCACTGTACACTCCGAGTCCACCTGCAATGTACCCCCCGTTGCGATATCACCCGAGCACCAAAGAACTTGTGCAGGTACGGTGGAATAACGATGATAGAAGCGTGATGAGCCACTTGCTACCAGACGAAGTGGAGGAATGGTAAGTGAGTTGCATGGGTCAGAGAACTTTACTTTACTTAATCTAAAACCCCAGGTATCAAGCGATCAAGATTTGGAACGAACTCTTGACGAAACCTGATTCAGAGTATTGGGTCCAACTCAGTCCCGGCACTGTATTAAGTAAGTTTTGTCCGTGGTTGCCTGCCATATGGCTTAATCTCTTTTTTTTTTTTTAGCAATTGACAACCACCGCGTGCTTCATGGCCGATCCGCTTTTGACGGTAAGCGCCGCGTGTGTGGTGCCTACATTGGCATAGACGAATACCGTTCGAAGCTCGCTGTCCTTAAGGAGAAGTTTGATGGCACCGATGACAACGGCGAGAACAAAGTATGGAGACCTGAGGATAGCAGAAGTATTTGGAACTCCAATCTATGATTCGAGGGCCACTTGTGGAGACTCTGGTCCTTCATGAAGGTTTCGATTATGACTAGTCATGACAGTACGAGTGAGGTATGTATGCAAATCAATTAATTTCAGAACGTGGCATCGGAATAGATTCAAATGCTCTCTAATCATCTTAAAGCGCCAAAAGCATCTCGATCGTGGTCGCCTCTATTTGTCGCTTTGGCTGCCCACAGTGCCCTCGGGTGAAAATGTCCTCTTCACGTGGCAAAGGAAAGGAAGGAACACATCGTAGTTCGACATATCTCATGTGTAAAGGAGTAAGCGTTCTGAAGGAGTTATCACCGCTCTGTGCGTGGCGATCAAGGACGACGCGCACCGAAAGACTGAGCCTTCCCAAGCGTTCGTTGCGTTAATATGTCCGCCAGGATGACGATCGTGCCACGAACCAGCATTTTTTATATCGAAAGCGCGTAGAACTGAACGACAACTGTCAGTGGGAAGGATGTATGTACATTTTCCATCCATGTACAGCTCTCAGGATCGTCTGGTACAGCCGGAGGCAATCTGTGACCATTGGCGAATACCAAGGTGTTAAAAACAAGATTTCCAGTTGTATTGCTGGTGACCGGTCAAGCTACCAGGAGCTCTCGAACTTGAGAAGATCTTGTGCATCGAAGAGCAGCTGTGTCACCAACACGCGCGAGCAGGGAAAAATAAGTGACTGCAACAATGCGAAGAGCATCGTAATAGTGCACCAACTGGATAATGGAACGAACAGAACTGGCATGTATCGAACGGTTCGCACCCAAGGCTCTCCATGGCGTTACAGGTTCAATGAACAACCGGGGAGCAGCTCGCCGGCTATGCTGTCTTTGAATGTTACATAGCATGTCTCCGACAGCAGATAAGTACAAGACGTACACACAAGCAGACAATACATTCACCTAAATACTCTACCAACATTACCGTATGGACTTGAGAATGAACCCCTCGAGCCCATCGCACACCCACAGCTCCTGCACGCTTGCGCCCACCGTGCGGACTTTGTAGGTCTTTTCTCCATCAGAACCGCGCAGAGTCACATTCCCGTCCGTCATCGAAACACGTATTTCATGCCCTTTATCCACTGTGAGTTCGCCTTCACGTCCACCCGCACCGCGTGCGCCTCCTTTGGCATACGTTGCAGTGAGGTCAGCGACGAGCTCAGGACATTCAAGGCAGACAAGACCATTATTGATAGCATTACGCTTGAATATGTCGCCGAATGAGCCTGCAATGACAAGCGGCACACCAGCTGCCTTAAGCGCGGTAGCAGCCTGTTCGCGAGAGGACCCGGTACCGAAGTTGTACCCCGATACCAAGACCACACCAGACTTGGTGCTTTCATCTGATGCGGAGAGTGAAGGGAGAATGGTAGCGACATTGCCTGCGAAAGACGGGTCGTAGTTCTCCATGACTACTTGTGCTTGGCGTTCGAGGGTAATGTCATCTTGGTAGGTGTATTTTCCAGGGTATAGTGCGTCCGTGCTCAGGTTGTCCTGTGGTGCGAAGAGCAGGCGACCAGAAAAGGCTGCGGGGAAACCGGGGAAGAGGGGTTCTTCTGCTTGTGGTACCTCTGCTGCGTCTGAAGAGCCAGAAGCGATGGAGAAGACGGGTGCGCCTGCAGGAGGAAGCGAGGTTGCGTCAAGAGAGTTGGGGGAGCAGATAAATCCCTTGACAGCGCTTGCAGCAACGACTGCGGGACTGGCAAGGTATGCCTGAGCCTTAGGGTGGCCCATTCGTCCCTTATAGTTCCTGTTCGTGGCGCTGATGCCCGTCTCACCCTCTTCCAACAACCCGGTGCCGAGCCCAATGCAAGGCCCACAACCTGCTGGGAGCACTTTGGCACCTGCAGCAATCAACTTGTTCCAGTGCCCCAACTTCTCCGCCTCCGCCTGCACCACAGAGCTCGCAGCTGCGACATAGAACTCGACGCCCTCTGCAACTTTCTTGCCCTCAACAACAGACGCAGCTGCAGCAATGTCAGAGACACGAGAGTTGGTACATGAAACCAGGTATGCTTTCTGGATTGCAATTTGCTGTGATTCTAACTTGGGAAGTGGGGTAGAGACCTTGACGCTGTTAGGACCGGAAACATGTGGGACGAGAGTAGAGAGGTCGAAGATCAGATGCGAGGAGTATTGGGCACCGAGATCGGACGTAAGATTAGTTGCACGGAGAGCATCAAGACTGCGGCGATTGATACGTGGGTGTTCTGGCGGGGGCGGTATTGATTTAGAGGCGAAAGTCCTTTGCTCTAATTTCGTCAATGCACTCTCGTACCAACTCAAAAGTGTGTCGTCGACAGGGAAAACGCCTACAAGTGCGCCCCACTCCGTTGTCATATTCGAAATCGTAAGTCTGTCGTCAATCGAAAGCGCAGAGACACCCTCCCCAGTAAACTCGATTGCAGCGTTAAGGACCTCATCGTTGTTGAATGACCCGCAAAGCGCGACAATCACATCCTTGCCGGTGACACCTGGGGCTAGCTTTCCCCGAAATTCCACCTTGACCATACGAGGGACTTGCCACCAAGTCTTTCCTGTAGCCCACAAGGCTGCTGCATCTGTGCGCACGATGGCTGTACCCACGCAAGCAACGCCTCCATACATATTTGAGTGCGAATCAGAAGCAACAGTGAGGGTATGCGGGAATGCGTAGCCTTCTTCTACGAGGACTTGGTGCCCGATGCCGCGGCCAGCAGGATAGAAGTCAATCCCATGTGCGCGTGCAAATGCTTCAATGTTGGCATACTTGGCAAGGTTTTTGTCAGATTTATTCTGGACGTCGTGATCAAGGGTGAACACCGCCTGCCGGGGATCAAAAATTTTCTTTGCACCTATGGACTTGAATCTACATGCGCGTCATATGAATAATGATTTGAGAGAGAAGAAAAGAAGCACACTTGGATATGACAGGGCCAGTGTTGTCATGGGTCATAACGTGCTCCGGGCGAATCATGACATAGTCGCCTGCCTTGACAATTTTGCCATCGGGGAGACTAACTGAGTACTTTTGGACAACTTTTTCAATGATAGTCTGGGGAATTCGGGGAGTGGCCACGCTGGTAGCGAAGAACCGCGCTGCTTGCAGGCACCCCCGACCGGGTATGCGCGGTGAAAGGCGCATCACAAGTATTTGGCGTAAGAAACCTGTAGTAGTCGAGACTCAAGATGTAAGTGTAAGAAAAACAGCTGAGACCACTTTGTTAGGGTTGTGTCAGGGAACCGAACACGACTGATAAGCCTAATAATATGATTCCATTCACATGGTCACAACAACTCAGAGGATACATTATCCATACACTGCGTAATTTACAAAGGGATATATCAACAGGCAAGGACTACGCGCTGGCGACTCCGACAGTGACAGCTGTAGGCACCGCAATAGGTGCGGCCGGGGATTTCAGCACTTTCTCCGTAACCGCGTCCTTTGGAGGAGTGGATGACTCAGGTGACTTAGAAACGTGGTTGGTCTTCATCTTCTTCTTTTTCTTCATTAGACCTATAAATTGAAACGTCAGCACAAATACTACGTAGTGGGCGCGGTATACTGACCTGCGGACACTGCAGATTTGACATTGTCGACGATTTCCCTACTTTCCTCAAGGTATTCTGTATCATCGAACCGATGCTTCTTGCCAGCAACAGCCTCCGTATCCCCTGATGCAGCTGCAATCTTCTTCTCGAGTGTCTCTAGCTTGGCTTTTTTGGCCTCAGCCTGGGCCTTCTTCCGTTCATCTTCATTTCCCATGTAGTCTGCAAGCCTAAAGCTATGTGATTAATACATCACATCCTGCACCAACTGAACATACATGCCTTTTCGCAGTTTTGATGGTACTAAGTCTGCGTCCGCTAAGATCTCTGCATGAGTCATTGTTACTGGTCTTCTGACTACTCATGCGACCACCGGCAGCACGCAACTGCGAACCAAAACCTCCCTTACCACCTCGGAGTCGGGGAATAAGTTTCAACGTAATGAGAGTTGCATCTTGTCCATGAATCTCAGAGATGAGGGTGTCCGGTGTAGGGACAGATCCAGCATGAGATGAAATTCTCAAGTCCTCTGAAGCAGGGAGATCGGAATAGCGCGTGCACAAAAGAGGATACAGTTCATCGAATCGGGTTTCTGGAGAAACAGAGAGCGAAAGAGTCGGGAATGGAGCAAACGTTGAGAAAAGAACTGTAGTGGTCATGGTATGTAGACAGTAATGTAATTATGTAATCCTGCGGGTCAGGTCCAAACCTGTATGATTATGTAACCCTGTGGGTCAGCCCGTCGGCGTCATCACCCCTGTCAACAGAAATTCTCTCTTTCGCCGCAACACCCACAAGCACGACAACTTGAATTAATTGCGCAGCCTTATACTCCCCAATCGACATGGATTTTTGGCGCGTGCTTATGCATGAAGCGCCTATGTTTGTCTGGCCCGTCAAATTCTGTGTGGCCATGACTGCTACCACATACGTGCTCTCCATCCTCACCAACAACGTGTCGCAGGTGGATAGAGTCTGGACGTTTCTCCCAACCATATATACTATATACTATGCTTTTCTGCCGTTTTGGCCATCCATCCCACCCACCTATCTCTTTCCCTCCACCCCTGACACAATTCCCGCATCTCTGAGGGAGACCTTCAGTCCACGAGCCTTGCTCATGGCAAGTTTGGTGGTGAGTATCTCATCTGCTCAATTTCTTACAATCTGCTTAACTATCTTCAGGTGACGTGGATGTCCAGGTTGGTAACATGTCCTCGTCATATTCACTTGTGGATCTCACCCTCCGTAGGTTAAGTTACAACACATGGCGACGTGGTCTATTTAGCCTGTAAGCTCATTCTTCATTGATGATACAATTATAAATCAAGAAATGTTGACAGCAAGGATGAAGATTATCGCTGGGAAGTTTTGCGACAGAAGATCTCCCCTTTCCTCTTCCAAGTTTTCAACCTCTTGTTTATCGGTACGGCTACGATTATCTATCGGTCTCTA